AAAAAAAAAAAAGAAAAGAAAAAGTTCAACAAGCTACTATATAAAGTGGAGGAAATCTTCCCCAAAATTCGAGAACAAAGGAGATAAAAAATGCAACAAAGATTTTGAAAAACTGGAGAATCAAAGGACTTCCAGAGATGACAGTGAAAAAGACAAAGAAGAAATCTAAGATACCAAAGAAAAGATTGAACAGGTAAAGGGCCCAAGTTTATAAACAATAAGGAAGTTCTGGGTGGCACCTGTGGCTCAAGGAGTAGGGCAGCCCCAGGCCAAAAAAAAAAAAAGAAAAGAAAGGACGTTTTGAGTGCTCATTACAATGGATGAAAAGAAACGTACACCAAAGAACATCACTGAAATGTTAAAACACTGTGGACAAGGAGAAAATCCTACCCAGGGCCACACGTACAAAAGTATGAAGCATCAGTATAGCTTCTGATCTCCTACTAGCAATACTGAAATATAGTCAATGAACCAATGCCTTCAAACTTTGGAGGACAATTATTAATATTTCTAACTCTCAAACATGAGACAAGGATGAACAAGTGATTACACATAAAGTGTCTTTAAAAACGTACTCTTCCTTAGGAGAGTAGGAAATGTGTTCCTGTTAAATAAGAAGTAAACCAGGAAAGAGAAGACCAGAAAGAGGAGAGGAAAAGAGATGCCCAGGACTGTGACAAAAGCCAATCCTAGGAAGAGAACTGAGTGCCAGGCCTGGAAGCCAATCAATCCACTATGAAGCAAGTGAAAAGGCTCTGGGGAAATATCACTATTCAAACGCTTGAATGCTACCTAGGTGGTAGAAAAACAACAATATATGAAAACATTTTTAGTAGGCATTATGATGATATGGCCCAAAACGTAAAACTGAGACAACCTGGCAGATATCACACAGATAAAGCCATATTTTAGCTCCATAAAAGGAAGAAGTTTGTGATGGTTAGAGTTTAAAAATGAAATAGAGTACCTCTGCCTAACTCAAGGACAGACTAGATAACAATTTAGTAGTGATAACAATTACAGGGGAACAGAAGCTTCCAATGGGTAGCTGGATTAGATAATGATCACACTTTATTTCAACAAATGTATGTTATAATTACTCTATAAATGTTCTGCCATAAAAGAGAGAAAGTGAAGAAAGAGAGAAAAAGAAGTTAACAATAACTTTAAGGTACATAGTTGTTTTTTTGTTTTTTTTTTGAGACAGAGCCTCAAGCTGTCCCCTTGGATAGAGTGTTATGGCATCATAGCTCACAGCAACCTCCAACTCCTGGGCTCAGGCGAGTCTCCTGCCTCCACCTCCCAAGTAGCTAGGATTACAGGCGCCTGCCACAACACCTGGCTATTTTTTGGTTGCAGCCGTCGTTGTTTGGTGGGCCTGAGCCAGATTCTACCAGCTCAGGTGTACGTGGCTGGTGCCTTAGTTGCTTGAGCCGCAGGCGCCGAGCCAAGGTATATATAGTTTTAAGACCATCTGTTCTTTTTCTACTTAGGTACCCAACTTTAGAAGCTAAAATAAGTAAAAGGAATTCTAGTGTTATCTTTTCAGTATTAAAAGAAACTAATTCTTGCATCACTTGATACTGATATTAAAAAATATTACTGGTATATATTGTTACAGCCCTCATGTTTAACCATTTTTCCGGTACATTATAATCTTAGAAACGAAAGGATAAATAACACCAAGGTAGTAAAGGAAGCACTATAGAAAACTAAAATACCTTACCTGAATGTTAGTGCTTTCACAAGGAATGACACTGTTTTCAGCAAGGGGCGACATGCACATGTTAGAGTTTTCAATACTGAAGGAAAGTCCGCTCACAAAGTCAGTCCTGGGTAAACTCCTGCTGTCAACCAGCCCCTTGATCCAAGTGCTCTCATCTCCTAGCTCTATAGGATCAACCATATCCACAGTGTTATTCTCCTCCTTGCTTTCGACATCCTGCAGTGGTGCTAATTCTTTCTCAGAAGCACTGGACTGATTGTGTGTAATAGACATGGCAGTCACACGTAAACGTGTGCCCCGTGTAGAAGCGTCACTATTCAATTGCCGTAGGTGTATTTCAGCAGCATCCACGCCTGGTGATGAAACATCTGTGGAAGAAATAGTCTCTTTATCTTCTTTATCTTCATCATGAGTCTCAAGAGTAAAAGGTATGTGAATCAGTGAGGTCTCATACTGAGGACCACCTCTACACATCTCGAGACTCATAGGAGACCAATTTTTAATTGGTGAGCAGCCATCTATATAAGGACTTCTGATATACTTATTAGTAATTCCATTAGAATTTGTTCCAGATGAAGCATCAGGAGAATGAAAAGTAAACTTCCTTTGTTCTAAAAATGAGGAGGGAAAAATCACATCACAAAAACATGAGAACGAAAAAGCCTTTACTAGATGGCAATAATACTTCATGCCAAGAAAAACTAGATTTCTCTAAGAGCTGTGGAGTTAACTAAAATGAAATTTTGATGTTAAAAACAACAGCTCAAATGGATATGTCTCAATACGCAGGATGAGGCGCTTCAAAAATCATGTCTCTGCCACTTTCTCTTTTTTATTTAAACTATTTTACTCCCTGAGAATTATTTCCCAGTAAGCATACCGCTAATTGTACCAATATTATTCATATATAAAGAAGATTCCCATGCAAATCAGCAGAATGATATAACTTAATAGCTATACCTGCTAAATGAAATAGGTAAAAGGTATTTGTTTTATATAAAATAAGCAACATGAAAAGACAAAAGAACTGCAAAGTTATACTTGTAATAATTACGAGTCTAACAATGATAAATAAAAATGCTTTGAAACTTTAAAAATTGCTGCTTATAACTTCATTAGCTTAGCAAAAATAGAAGTTTTTTAAAAATGGGCAAAAGCTTATAAACAATCTTCCTAATGGTAAATAAGCATACAAAAAGTATAAATAATTTATTCAGCCACATAAATAATAAATCTATGCAAATTATAGCAATGAGAGACCATTTGGCTTAACTATAACACTGACATCTGAACTGGCAATTCCCCTCCAAACACGGATAGCCAATAAACATTGGGAATGAATTCCATATCATTATTGATCAAAGACAGAAAATTTAAAGCTATAAAAATCTTTTTATAGTATACCAAGTTAGTAAACATCAAATAGAGTATCAGTGTTTCAGAATAGGGAAAAATGATTTTCTTACATGCTGCTGAAAAAAATTTCAATTTGTACAATCTTTTATGAAGTGAATCTGGCAAAATTCATCAAGAGTCTTAAAAACATTCACTCTGCCAGGTATGGGATGACATCTGTAATCCTAGCACTCTGGATGGCTGAGGCAGGTAGATTGCCTGAGCTCACAGATTCCACACCAGCCTGAGCAAAAACAAGACCCCATCCCTAAAAATAGCTGGGTGCTGGGGGCAGCGCCTGTGGCTCAAAAGAGTAGGGCACTGGCTCCATATGCTGGAGGTGGCGGGTTCAAAACCAGTCCCAGCCAAAAAAAAAAAAAAATACCTGGGTGTTATGGCAGGTGCCTCTAGTCCCAGCTACTTGGGAGGCTGAGACAAGAGAATCGCTTAAGCCCAGGAGTTTGAGGTTGCTGTGAGCTGTGACTCCACAGCACTCTATTGAGGGCGACAAAGTGAGACTCTGTCCTTAAAAAAAAAAAAAAGACAAAGAAAAACATTCACCTACTTTGACCAAATAATTCCGTTTCTGAGAACATAATCTACACACAAGGATAATGATTAATTTTGTGATAAGCAAAAATTAGAAAAAATTTGAATGCTTCCCAATGGTGAAAACTATAGGATATATACAATAGCAAAATCATGCAAAATAAATGACTCAAACAGCCTATAAAAGTACTCATAAAATGCCTTGTGAAATAAGCAGGATATGGAACCATGTATGTTCACATGTATGTACCTATATATGCATATCCATACATATACCCACACACATAAATACTAGCAAAATACAGCTTTCAATTTTCCAATTTTCTTTAGTGTGAATAGTTTTTTTAAACTGGGAAATTTTCAAAAAGTGCTGTAACTTTTTTTAAGAGCAATTCACTGCAAAGAGAAATGTGTAAATTTCTACACATTTTATTTACCTTAAAAATTTTAACCAAATACACCTTTACAAAATATGTATTTCTGATTATCAAAGTCGAAGACAAAAGTCCGAAGGCATAAAAAACCAACCTGTCTCTAAAATTGCTGTCTTTCTTCAATAGAAAGATGTAAAAATATTCCTAATGAAAGTAACTATATTTAACACTAGAGTATAAATTTGATGAGAATTCTAACCTTTGAAGGTAAATTGTTCCTTTTGTTAAAAAGTTTCTAAATGTGGGGGTGGGCAGAGGCAAGATGGCCGACTGGAGCCAGCTTTCCACAGAGGCTCCCCTCCAGAAGGAGAGGTAAAGGCCAGAATTTTAGCAAGTAAGCTAATGGTTTGGAGCTGAGCCAAGAGAGAAGGTTGAAGAACGCACACCAACACTGCTGAGGTGAGCTGCGACCCCAAGGATACAAACAATAGGTACAAAATCCATCGCCAGGCAGATGGGAGTCCCCTCCCCCAAGAGAACGGGTAGTAGTATACTTTCTACAAACAAGAGAGCAGAGTTCAAACATCCTCCCATTTTATCCCATGGGAGAGACCCTCTAAAAACTGGACCTCCTTCCCCTACTAGGGTGCCATGGTACTCTCCTGCTAGGCATAAAACTGTATATATTCTCTATATATAATCTGAACTCCCAGCACTCCCCTCCACTCTCACCCTGAGGTAGGGAAGCCTGTCCCCCATGGAGTCCAGATTCTTGGGCATTTTCTTAAGAGGTATGGACAGGGTGTGGGCTGCTGCAGGTCTGTGCTGATTCTGGGGAATGGGGGTAAGGACAAGACGGTGGACTGAAGGAACCATATGAGAGAGGGAGAGGTGGTGCTCCCCGCCCCCACATAGAGCAGCAGCTGCAGCAGCAAGAACAATAGGGCTTGTACCACTGGGGATATTTTGGGGAGACACTCCCTGTCTGTCTGGGCAACCAGAGAAAGCTGGGTATCTTCTCTGGTGGCAGATGCTGGTGGAACAGATCTGGGATGGTAATGCAGGTCCCGTGAGCAAAGGGTATGCCTGAGGCGGTACCTGCCTGGGCGGGGCAGTGTGGGACAGAAAATAGCAGATGCGCGCCCGGAGACGGCATACTCCCAGGGCAGGGCTGTGCTAGAAGCTGGAACTCAGAGCCGAGTGATGCGTGCCCGGAGACGGCATACTCCCAGGGCAGGGCTGTGCCGGAAGCTGGAACTCAGAGCCAAGTGTGAGCTCTAACCACACCCACCCCAACACTGACTGCAGCGGAGACACATATACCAGCTCTGGGCAGCGGGACAGACCAGGGCAGAGTAACAGTTTCTGTGAACTAAAACAGCGCCTAGTCCACAGGGGAATATAGCCAGGATAGAAACAAATACTATGAAAATATAAGTGTCAGCAACATCAATCAGGGGCAGGGCTAGACCTGAGTGAACTGCCCCAGCTTCCATTAATCACCTGAGGTTGTCAGGCCTTAACTCCCCCTACTGGATGGTGGCAGAGTGTGGAGGCCTGGCCAAGGAGACATAGATATCCCTATGAGTCAAGGAGGCGCAAACCCCTAGAGCATCTTCTCATTGGAGGGAACTGGATCACAGCACTGCGGGGTTACCAGTGACTGGGTGTGACAGAGGTGCAAGGTGGGGAAGGAGGTATCAACTTTCTCAGACTAATTCATTTGTGGGGGTGGGGGGTTGGGGGGGTGGTGTCCTTCTGACTCCATGCAGCACCAGAATGAATCATACTCATCCTGCCAGCAGATCCCTTCTAAGTAGTTGCTGGAGGCCTGCTGAACTCTCCCACTTGAGATCGGTTACTACTAGCACAACTGCTTTGGATCTCTTGGATTGGACCAATCACCCAAGGACTATCCAAAGTGGTAACCTGGGTGTGTGGTTGTGGGAAGGTTTGATTTTCCTTTTCTAGTTGTTGCTCGTGTGGGGAGGGGTGACTTAATTGCTGGTATTTCTCCATAGCTGAGGCTTCAACCCAGAGTAACTGATTCACTAGGGTAGGACAGAAACTGGCTGAAAACAAGACAGAGCCACTTAGCCCCACCACACCAAGTAAGTCCCCAGTGTCACAGGCCATAGCACTGTACAGGTCCTTTGCAAAGCTCTAGGAAAAAAGGTACAAGGCACTAGTCCCTGCTCTTGGGCAAAGGGCTGGTTAATCACTACTCCAGGAGCCCTCCAACCCAACTTTACCTTATCTGCTCATCTAGCCTAACGGTGTAAAATAATCATGGGGCGGAATCAGCAGAAAAACTCCTGTAACATGAATAACCAAAATAGATCAACTCCTCCAAGGAATGATATGGTGGACACAACTGAAGATCCCATTCATAAACAAATGGCTGAGATATCAGAAATCGAATTCAGAATTTGGATTGCAAATAAGATTAATAGAATGGAGGTAAAGTTGGAATTAGAAATTCAAGGAGCATTTCAAAATGTATCTCAAGAATTCAATGAATTCAAAAACAAAAATCACCAAAGATTTTAACACATTAAGACAAGAATTTGCAGCCCTCAAAGATCTGAGAAATACAGTAGAATGCCTCAGTAACAGAATGGAGCAGGCAGAAGAAAGGATTTCTGACACTAAAGACAAAGCTTTTGAACACTGTCAAACACTCAAAGAGGAAGAGAAATGGAGAACAAAAATGGATCATTCTCTCAGAGAGCTCTGGGATAATTTGAAGAAAACTAATATTCGCCTTATAGGAATTCCTGAAGGCAACAAGGTGGCTTCACAAGGCACAGAGGCTCTTCTTCATGAGATTATGAAGAACTTTCCAGACATGCCAAGAGATTCTGAAATTCAGACAGCAGATAGTTTCAGAACCACAGCACAACTCAACCCAAGTAAGACATCTCCTAGGCACATTATAATTAACTTCAGTAAAGTTAATATGAAGGAGAAAATTCTGAAAGCAGCCAGACATAAGAAAACCATAACCTACAAGGGGAAGAATATTAGAATGACTGCAGATCTCTCTGTTGAAAACTTTCAAGCTAAAAGAGGGTGGTCATCGACTTTTAATCTCCTAAAACAAAATAACTTGCAACCCAGGATCCTGTATCCAGCTAAACTGAGTTTCATTTATAATCGAGAAATCAAATACTTTAATGACATTCACACGTTGAAGAAATTTGCCATAACTAAACCAGCTCTCCAGGATATTCTCAGACCTATTCTCCATAAGAAACAGCACAATCCACCACCACCAAAGTAAACTCACTCAGAAAATTAGATCAAATTCCAACTTCCACAGTGGCAAAAGGATTAAAAATGTCCACTGGATTTTAGAAGAACTCAATACCTAAAATACCACCAGACTTATCAATACTCTCAATTAATGTGAAGGGCTTAAATTACCCTTTAAAGAGGCACAGCTTGGCTGACTAGATACAAAACCTCAGGCCAGACATTTGCTGCATACAAGAATCTCATCTTATCTTAAAAGATAAATATAGACTCAGGGTGAAGGCATGGTCATCTATATTTCAGGCAAATGGAAATCAGAAAAAAGCAGGTGTTGCAATTTTATTCGCAGATACAATAGGCTTTAAACCAACAAAGGTAAAGAAAGATAAGGATGGTCACTTCATATTTGTTAAGGGTAATACTCAACATGATGAGATTTCAATTATTAACATTTATGCACCAAACCAGAATGCACCTCAATTTAAAAGAGAGACTCTAATAGACGTGAGCAACTTGATTTCCTCTAGCTCCATAATAGTTGGAGATTTTAACACTCCTTTGGCAGCGTTGGATAGACCCGCCAATAAGAAGCTAAGCAAAGAAATTTTAGATTTAAACTTAACCATTCAACAATTGACTTTAATAGACATCTACAGAACATTTCATCCTAACAAAACTCAATACACATTCTTCTCATCAGTTCAGAATATACTCCAAAATTGATCACATCTTAGGTCACAAGTCTGACCTCAGCAAATTTAAAAAAATAGAAATTATTCCTTGTATTTTCTTGGACCATCATGGAATAAAAGTTGAACTCGGTAACAACAGGAATCTGTAGACTCATATAAAAACATGGAAGCTAAAACATTCAGCCTTATGCTGAATGATAGCTGGGTCACAGAAGAGATTAAGAAGGAAAAGGTCAATAGGTTTTGGAAAAGGTCAATAAAATAGATAAAACTTTGGCTAACTTAACCAGGAAAAAAAGAGTAAAATCTCTAATTTCATCAATCAGATATGGTAAAGACGAAATAACAACAAACTCCTCAGAAATTCAAAAAATTCTTACTGAATATTACAAGAAACTTTACTCTTAGAAATA